ATTAGCAATTACAACTCATTACGAGTTTATGGAATAATATACGTGGAATCTAATGCCTTGAAATAAATGTAAGTTATAATGTAAATAAATGTAAATGTAATTAAAATGGTGCAATATGTAATAAATGTACTGAAATGATGTAATAAGTGTAAATCTAATGCCTTATAATAAAGTAAATTAAAACGTAAATAAATGTAAATCTAATAAAAATGATGTAATAAACGTAACTAATATGAGGCAACATATGTAAATCTAATGCCCTGATAAAATAGAGAATGAAATCAACCTGATCACAGTTCGACTGTCCTTATCGCCCACATACGTGACCACGTAAAAGTCCGGACACCAAANAATTGATCAACGTCGACAACGGTGCAGCCACCTGAATATGTCACCTTATCGCAATGCAACGAATCACAAAACTTTACAAATAACTAAACAAGACAAAATGAGTGCAACACAGATTCCCTTTCTGCCATTTTCACGCTTATTCTCCACCTTCAAAAATATTTTCCACGAATCATCCAAAAAAAAATTCAAAAATTTATTCGATTTAACCGAAAAAACAAAATTCGATCCCAGTGAATCGCTGTATCCAAATTCATTTTCTCACCGTTTCAACTTTATATCGATCAAAACTTCAAATTTATCTATATAACATTAAATAAATACTCATCGTTGAATGTCGTCAATACGAAAAGCGATTTGAAAATTGTAAATTCGCAAAATCGTCGAAAATAACTCCAAAAAATAACTGAATACCATAAATAAACTCACCAAGAATGGTCCCTTCGTATGTCCTTCCTTCACCAACGAGTACAAGAACACCATCGACTGAATTGTCTTACCCAGACCCATCTCGTCGGCCAAGATCGCGTCGGTGCCTTGTGACCAACAATGTCTTAACCAGTTTATACCCTCCAATTGATAATCGTGCAATTTACCGCCTGTCTCGTTGGTAAAATCTGGCTGCTCTTCGTATTTCTTCCGAATCTGAAACCAATTCACTGACTTTCATCACTTTAAGTTTTGCTGATATGTAATCATATCTGCAAAAATGCATAAAACAAAACAAAACAAAATGAAAACAGCATAATAAACACAACACAACAACAAATTCAATACCAATAATAATAATGAAAAAATAAAAGTAACAATAACAAAATTCCATTTAAAAACTACAACTCACATCAAATTTGACGTCTCTTTTCTTCTTCTTCTTATTTTCCTCTTCCTCATCGATACCGTCAGCTGCCCGTTTGGCTGCTATCTTCTTGGCGATATGTTTCGGTATTATATCACCGTTCATACGTTCGCTAAAGCAATCACATTCACCATTTAAAAAAATCATCAACTTCACACAAATTTCACACTCACACAGCCATCATTCAACTATTAATCTCATAATAACTAAATTATTACTGATGCTTCCAATATTTCACCACGTAATAACAAAATAAATACTAATACTTCATAGAGTAAACTACTAACAAGGGAAGGTCACGAACTTACCCCCGCGTTTCGAGACGACATACATATTATATTGTAGAGCTCGTGTAGCTGATTATAAATATGCAAAAATTTTTTGCGGAACACAAAGAGCACGTATCGTATGTACCGATGTAATTACCGATGTAAGTAAGTGCTGATGCTGTCCGTATTTCACAAAGTAAACAATCAAATAAAGTAAATCAGTACCGATGCTGCCAGTATTTCATGATCGCCTCCTCATAGCCGATAATCTCGAAATCGTCGCGTTCCCATGTCGCCTGCTCATAGACCAACTCTCGCCACTTCACCAGATAATCGAATTGTGTTTTACCGTATTGCACATGGTTTATTATGCGATGCACTTGCATCCATTCCGGTTTCACACCTTTAATATCATTCTTCATATCACATTATCATTACCACTACTGCTGCCCACTAATCAGACATAATTCTTTCGATGGATTTGGTCACTTTCTGTTTGCATCTCATGCTGAACAGTCAGTGAATACTATCGGATCTCACATAAAATCCGCAAAAAATTATTGCTGCCGTTCAAATTAATGTGATCATTCACTGAGACTTCAATTGCTGGCTTGATTGTTGACTTTGGTTGCTATTCAATTTAAATACTCATATTCAAAATTATACTCGCACTCGCAATACATAAAATCAATATGCACAGAATCAATAAACTAACTCAAAATCAAATTTTCCGCTGCCTCAAGCAAAGAACCAACTACTCAAAACAACCAACACCACAAACA